GAAATAAGGCTTGAGATAAATTCCATTGATTTTTCTGGGATGTAGCTCTCCATCAAGTGACTCTAACCAATAAGCACCCCTTCTCAACACTTCATGAATTCGGAATGGTCCTTCCCAATTTGGGGACCATTTCCCAACTTTGTGATCTTTCTTGCCAAGAGGTAAAATTGCTTTCCAGACCAAGTCACCAACTGCCAGATTTTTACCTTTTACCCTTTTGTTGTAAGACTTTGCAATTTTGAGTTTTTGAGCTTGCAATCTATCCAAAGCTGTCAAACGTGAGTCTTCAAGGTCCTCAAGCTCAAGCATCATGGCCTCATCATATTCTCCAGACTGAAGATTATGCTGAATCATCACTCTTAAAGACCTGGCTGTTAGCTCCATTGGCAAGACTGTCATGGCCATATGTCAAGGCAAAAGGTGTCATTTTGGTTGAACTCCTTTGTGAAGTTCTATAAGCCCACAGTGTTTCAGACAATAATTCATGCCAGTGTCTGGGATTGTCATCCACCATTTTTTCAAGCAAATTAATCACCACCTTGTTAGAAGCTTCCGCCTGCCCATTAGCTTGTGCATAATGAGGAGTAGAATTTAACCAACGAAAACCCATTTCCTTTGCAAATGCCTCCACCTGATGGCTGACAAAAACTGTCCCTTGGTCTGTTGTAATCGTTTCTGGCAGACCAAATCTGTGAATAATGTCCTCTTTGATGAACTTGATTACATCAGATTGGTCTACCTTCTTCATTGGTTTAGCCTCCACCCATTTGGTAAAATAATCCGTTGCCATTATAATAAATGAATGACCTTTTGATGAAGGGGGATACACCTTACCAATTAAGTCAATAGCCCAGCCTCGAAATGGCCATAGTTTCACAATAGAATTAAGTTTAGAGGCTGGAACTCTTTGAAGTGGCCCATGGATCTAACAAGATTTGCAGCCCTTAGCATAAGCAATACAGTCTTTTAGGACAGACGACCAGAAGAAACCATGTCTGCGAATTAACCAGCGCATCTTGATCCCAGCCTGATGTGCACCACAAATCCCATCATGGACATCAGACAGCATCTGGAAACTTTCATATGGACCCAGACAACGCAACAGTAGTTCATCATGGCCTCTCCTATAAAGCACATCCTCAATCAAAACATAATTGAGAGCTTGCATTTTGGTTTTCCTAAATACCTTACTGCTTTGATCCTTAAGGTACTAAATAATTGGAAAGCGCCAGTCTGTCTGGGTAACATCAATGCTGCAAGTAGAGACAGTCATGCCACGTTGATGAATTGATGGCAGACTGCGTTTTTCAACTATTACAACTTTCTGCATCATACCTTCAGGAATTCGCAGACCTGAAGCAATATGGGCCATTTCATTAACTTCATAGTTCTGGTCCCTAGGCACGTGTCTGATGGACACATCATCAAACTCTTCCAGCAATTGCACAGCCAAGGCAAAATAAAGGGCTAAAGCAAGGCTAGTACATTTGTACTCACCAGACAATTGCTTCAAGACTAACTGTGAGTCCCCTATAACCTCAACCATGGATACTTTAAGCTCCACCAACATCTCAAGACCAATAATCAAAGCTTCATATTCTGCTTGATTATTTGTGCAATCAAAATCCAGCTGGAAAGACATTTGTGTTTTTAGCCTAGACAGGGAAATTACCACGACTCCAACTCCAGACATGGTTTCTCTACTAGATCCATCAAAAATAAGTTTCCAGGGAACTAAACTTATTGAAAACAAGTTAATCCCTTTTTCTTCATTTGCCTCCACGTCTAGACATAGATGATCTGTAAGAAAGTTTGCCAGTGCCTGCCCTTTGACAGCCCTCTGTAGTATATACTTCAAATTAAACTCAGACAAGGCCAGAATCCATTTACCTATTCGGCCTCTTAACAAAGGGCGGGACAACATATATTTGACAATATCAGTCTTGGCAACCACATACACCTCAGAATAAATCAAATAATGTCTTAATTTTATTGCAGCAAAAAAGAGAGCAAGACACAACTTTTCGACCGAAGAGTATTTCACTTCGGTCTGGGTCAAACATTGACTCAAGTAATACACGGCCTGCTCCTATTTTTTATCATTTTCCTACGCCAGCAGACATCTTATGGACTCGTCTGCGGCGGATATATATAAAATTAAAGGCTTATTTTTCACAAGCGGTACAAGTACTGGTGGTCTGGATAAGTACCGCTTTATCATATCAAAGGCAGACTGGTGGTGTTCTTCCCACTTAAAATCCGCCTTAGACTTGAGTTTCAACAGAGGAGAAAAGACTCTGGTTTTCCCAGCCAAGTTAGAAATGAAACGTCTTAAGAAATTAACTTGGCCAAGAAATCTTTGCAAATCCTTCTTGTTCTGTGGTGGTTTCGCCTCAATCACAGCCCTGGCTTTGTTCTTGTCAACCTCCAGACCACGCTCATGCACCAAGTACCCAAGGAAGTTACCTGCAGACACTCCAAAGGCACACTTAAGTGGGTTCATTTTCAAGCCATGTTGCCTCATCCGCTCAAAAGACTTCCTCAAATGAACCAGGTGGTCTGCTTCCCCATTTGATTTCACCACAACATCATCAATATAAATTTCCATGAATTTACCAATCATATCATGAAAAATTGCATTCATGGCTCTTTGATAGATAGCTCCAACATTCTTCAGACCAAATGGCATCACAACCCATTCAAAAGTTCCAACAGCACCTGGGCATCGAAAGGCTATCTTAGGAACGTCTGCGTCTGCAATAAAAATTTGGTTGTACCCACTATGACCATCCATGAAAGATAGAATTTTGTGACGGGCTACTCCATCAACTAACAAGTTTGCAATTGGCATAGGATACTCATCCTTTGGTGTAGCTAAATTCAAGTTTCGGAAATCAACACAGACTCTTAATTTTCCATTCTTTTTCAGCACAGGCACTACATTTGACAGCCAGTCTGCATACCTGCATGTCCGAATGAATCCAGCTTTTACCAGCTGTTCAATTTCTTCTTTCACCTTCAAAGTGACCTCTGCAGACATGCGTCTGGGCGGCTGTTTATACGGTCTGAATCCTTCTACAATTGGCAGTTTCTGTTCCACCAATTTCCGATCCAGACCTGGCATTTCTGAGGTAATCCCAAGCAAAACAGTCTTTAAATTCATGCAAAAGTCTGACAATTTGATCTCGTGTCTACGGCTCAAGAGAGCCGCTGATAAATGTTACCTTTGGTTCACTTTTAGACCCTAGATTGATCTCCTCCAGTGGATCTTGAACTTCAGCTTTTAAATCATCCAACTTGGCTGGGGCCAGATCCAGCTCCTCCAAAGTTATTTCATCACCTTGGTCTGCCTCCTCACCTTCATGAACAATTTCAGACCTGTCTACTTGAACTGCTTTTTCAGCAAAATAGGCCGCTACTTTCTTTGTTATCTCCAACATGGCCTTTTCTCTTTCCTGTCTCATACGAGCTTGCTTTATTAGATTTCTTCAATTTTTAGTTTCCCCTTCGGCCTATAAG